AGGCTCCCCGCCCCCCGCCGTCCCGTGCGCGCGCTCCCGGACCCTCCGCTAACTCGTCCCCAGCTCCCGGTCCACGTTGCTGGTCGGCGTCGTCCACGTCTGGACAGGCCCGTGTGGTCGGGGGGAGGGTCTCCTGGTCCTTAAGTCACCCAGTCTTTACGACAGTCTTGCGGGAGTAGGTGGGACCAGTTTGGGGCCCAGAGAGGTTAAGGAGGTCGCCCCTGTCCCACAGCAACTGGGGGGATTTTAGACTCCGCTTGTTTGTACAGGAACCGAATGGTAACGTGCTTCGTGAGCCAGAATTGGGCCGGCGGTCTCCGGGACACAACCTGAGGCTCAGGTGAGGTTTGACTTGGGACTTTAGCAAGTCTCCCTGGATCGACCGGAGGGGTCTTGGCACCTTCCGGGGGGAGCCGGGCTTTCGAGCTCTCAGCTGCCCTCTCGGTAGCCCCCCGGGGGCCGTCTCAGCTTTCTGACCTCCACCGCAGCTTAGTCCCCAGTGTCACAGCTGCTGTGGCAGATGGTGAATGGCCCTGCCCCGGGCCTGGCACAGTTGCAGTTACCACACCGGAGACTTTTTCGGGTCCTTAGTGATGGTCGGAATTGCAGGTGCTTTGGGTCCCTGAATTTGAAGAGAGGGAAATAACCTCTTTGCTTTAATTTCCCCAGACCTGGAGGCTGTGCAGGAAAGGCAGCCAGAAACCTGGAGGGGCTGTGGGCTTCCTGCAGAAATGGCCTTGGGACTGTGGTCTGAAAGGTTTGGACAGAGGCAGGGGTGGAAGTCCACGCAGGCCTATTGGAGCTGGGGTGCTGGTGGGGTCCCTGACTTGTCTCTTCCTTGGTATTGGCGTAGGTGCTGGCTCTGGAAAGTACTTTCAGAGGCTACCCACATCCTTTTTCGGGGTGCTGCCAGTGCACACTGTTGTGTGGCGATGCAGGGTGGGTGTGCAGCCGCAGAACTGGAGCCCCCAACCCTGGTGCAGGAGTCTGCGGAGGCCTTTGGAGGTTCTTCTCCACATCTGTGGTGAAGGATGGCTTGGCCCACAGTTGCAGGCCCTCCTTTGAGTTGGGCCACATTCCTGAGCTGGCATTTCTGGCAAGCACCTGTGCCAACCCCATCAGGGCCTCCTCTGAGGCAGGCCCTGCGACGGCCCCTTACAGGTGGGCCTAGGTCTCCACGCACCAGGGGAGAAGCTGGGTTATTTGTTCATGCCTTAGCCTTCGGGGTTGTGAAGGAGAGCCTTGGGGTGAGGGTCTGCCCTGAGTGCTGCTCCATGGGCTCTAGGCAGCCTTGGGGGTCTGCATTTTCCAGTATATGAAGTGTTCCCTGCTAGGTTTGTGAGTACTCACCTTCCTGGGCTGTGTTTCTGCAGAGCAGGAACTGTGCTGCATGCAGCAGGGGCAGGGTAGGAATGGGGCCAGTTGTCTAGGGTGGCATTGTGGCATCCAGTGAGAACAGTCTGCTGTGGCCAGAGGTTACAGGTCTTACCTGAGCACCATGGCCCGGCCTTTGCACCCAGGGGACAGGTGCCGAGCTCCAGGACAGGCTGTGGTTGCGTCACGTCTTCTGGCCAGGACGAGTGTGCAGGACAGACAGGGTTCTACATTGCTTCTGAGGCACCAGGCACTAGAGGTGCAGACCCTTTGTCCAGTGGGACTGAGGCTAGTTTTCTTTTTTTAAATGTATCTTTATTGATTTCAGAGAGAGGAAGGCAGAGGGAGAGAGAGAGAGAAAGAAACATCAGTGATGAGTCGTCATTGACCGGCTGCCTCCTGCACAGCCCCGAGGGGATCAAGCCCACAACCGGAGCATGTACCCTAGCCTGGAATTGAACCATAATCTCTGGAATCCTAGATTGACATCAACCGCTGAGCCACGCCTTGCTGGGCGGGGCTGGTTTTCTTTAGGGTACTAGGTTTACTGGGTTAACAATTCCACAAAAGCCTAAGTTTACCATTTCCAGGTACAAGCAACACATGGCAATCGACAGTTTCATCAGATTACTCACTGCCTCACTGTTGTCCTAGAGTTTGGGGCTTTGTGTGGGAAGTGAGGCTGCTGGGTCTGAATTGGCCTTGGCCCCACAGGGACCTTGTTGTCTTGGAGCATCTGTGTGGTGATAGCCTCTGCCTGGCTGCCTGCATGCAGGGTCCGAGAACGAGAGCCTTACCTGGCTCCTGGGTGCTCTGCTGGCCAAGCCCACCTTCTGGTTCTCACTTTGTGCTTATGCCTTCTGGTGTCCCATGGGACCCCTCTCCGCCCAGAGGCTGGACTTGGAGGGAAGTGCATTGTGCTGCAGGGAGGGCTTTCTTTGCTGTCGAGTTAATGAATGACTCCCTCTGAGGGGGTTTCACTGAGGGCCACCTGGGAAATGGTGGTGAGCAGCACTGATGAGAAAGGAACCCTTATTTGGCGACCAGAGTTGGGGGCCCTGGTGTAGGAGGAACAGTGTATCTCGCTATACTTGGGAGGTCATTTGTCTAGGTCTCTGTGTGGTCCATGCAGTGGCCTTGCAGAGGAGATAGGACAGGTGTCCCCATTGGGAGATCAGGAGCCCAGGAGGGGGTGGACATGGCAGCCAAGAGGCAGAGCCCAGCCTCTGCTCCGCGTGGCCTTGTGCTGCTCGGGGGATGTTTCTGGGGTGAGCTAATGCTCACGCCTCCCAATGGGGCTCAGGACCGGAGGCCAGGCTGACCACCTTGGCTGAGAGGGTCTGTTAGAGGAGTGCCCCACCTGTCACCCAGGCCTTTCTGGTGACCACCCCTGTCGAGAGCCCTGCTTTGCCTCAGCTCCTGATAAGCCATTTCATCCAAACAAAAACTGCCCGCTGAGGCTAAATTAGGTTTGTTAGAAGTTGTGATCTGACTGAATGTGGCTCTGTAGATAAGAACTTCCATTACTTCGTAGTCGGCATCGTGGGTGTCTATCCTCTCTCTCAGCTCTGCCTCCCTGTCCTGCAGATAGATACGTCACCGTAGATGTGGGTGGAGAGGGGCAGTCACTCTTCCCGAGGGGAGCTGTACAGCCTGGCACAGTTGAGGATGACCTGATTCTGGTTCCTTTCAGACTGAACTCCAATGTCCAGCAATGGATGACGACAGCCTAGATGAGCTTGTGGACCAAAGCCCGGGGCAGTGTGCACACCCGCGACTCAATGCCGCCCCTCTGGCCAGTGATGCTGGTGAGCCACCGCCCCGTTCTGCCAGAGCCTCGTGCGAAGGCTCATGGCCTGAACCTCTCAGGAGAAGCAGGGTCACCATGTTTTCATCACGTGGTCAGCTGCTGGGAAAGCTGAGGTCCTGCCCTGGCCAGGTCGCTCAATGGTTAGAGTATTGCCCCTACACCAAAAGGTTGCTGGCTCAATTCCTGGTCAGGGCTCATACCTAGGTTGCAGGTTTGATCCCGCTTTGGGGAATGTACTAGAGGTGGCTGATGGATATGTCTCTGTCACATCAATGTCTCTCTCTCCCTCCTGTCTCTCTGGCATAATAAACCTGTCCTCTGGTGAAGATAAAGAAATGTTGGGCTCCCTTTGGCAGTTGTCTAGATGATATCTACGTTTTTCAGTCTTATTTTTTGTTCTTAAGTTTCAGAAGTGGTATGTTCTTTTGTCTTTTGTTAAATTCTCACCCAAGGATATTTTCCCATTCATTTTTAAAGAGGGAGGGAGGGAGACAGACATCTGTCCACGTGAGACAGACATATCTGTTGGTTGCCTCCTGCATGTGCCCTGACTGGGGCTCGGGATCGAACCTGCGTCCCTCAGGTCCGCAGGCTGATGCTCTAACGACTGAGCCAAACCGGCCAGGGTGTCTTTTGTCTTATTTTTAATGCAAGCAATGCAGACATAGATAGAGCAAAAGGATTCTGCTTTTCCTGCGTCTGTCCCCACCGAGCCCCACCTCACTCTCTCTTGCCTCCGTTGCACGTGCCTTCTGCACACCTCTCTGTACCCACGCACCAGCCCTTGTTCCACCTCGGTTGTGATTCTGCCTGGGCCTGTGTTTTTGCCTTTTTCGGTCAAGAAGAAAGCAGTGACGGAGACAGTGGGGGCTCTGAGGACACGGGCAGTGAGCTCAGCGACAGCACCGATGGAGAAGACGAGGAGGAGGACCTGGAAGACGGATCTGGTGAGAATGCTGCTGTTGGAGCAGCTTCCTGTGTCTCCCCGCTGTGATGGGACAGTTGCTTATAAAACATCCTTAGCAAAATTGTTGCCTTGACCACGCTGGCCATGGAGGGGTGAGATGTTGGGGAGAAAGTCCTTGGCAGAGTGGGCCTTGTGGGACAGTCCCCTGCGGTGAGTCCTGGGGCGATGGCTCACATTCTTGTAACACTTCCTTTTGGCTTGATGAGTCGATTCCCTAGAAGAGTCTCTGGTGAGGGCAGGAGATTAAAACGCACAAGAGCGTGGAGTAGCAGGAACGGCAGTTTCCAGGGAGAGAGAAGCATCCACACTTGCTGGCAGAATGAACGACGGGCTTGGAGCTCCGCCCTTCAGGCTCTGCGTCCCAGGCAGATTTACAGGGAATGACCAGGACATGGTGGCTCAGTGGCTCTCACCTGTGCTTGCTCTTTTTTTTTTTTCTTTAGGTTTTTATTGATTTAGGAGAGAGTGGAAGGAGAGAGAGACATTGACGTGAGAGTCACGTTGATTGGCAGCTGCCTCCTGCACACACTCTACTGGGGATTGAACCCACAACCCAGGCATGTGCCTTGACCAGGAATTGAACCGGAGACCTGATTCAATTGCTCAGGATGATGCCCTCCTCCAGGGTCACTGCTCGTTGACAAAAGTCAGGTCCTCGAGGTGCAGGGCTACAGTCCTGTTTCTGGCTGGCTGTTGGGCAGGCACTGTTCTCAGCTCCTGACGGCCGCCTTCGGCCACCCTGCAGGAATACTTCTCCACTTCTCTGCAGCCAGCCAGAGAAAACTGCCATGGAGAGCTAGCTGGATGAGGCTGAGCTAACCCGGTAACTCCTCTGCCACATAGTAGCAGGGTCACAGGGCGATCGCTGTGGTGGGCTCTGGTCCTGATGCACTCAAAGGGGTTGGATGGGCGGAGGCTTGGGGCAGGTAAGGCTGCCATACCTCTCGCTGTTCTCTGTCCCAGTGCAGTTGGTCTTTGTTTTAGAGGAGCTTGGGAAGGACAGAAAACTAAACACATTGGCTGACGTGTTCAACCAAAACCGTCTCCTTATGTTTTTGCTGACCGAGGTCCCAGCCTCAAAATATCTCCGACACTGGCTAGCACTATGTGGCCAAATGGTCTGCTTAGGAACTTGTGCTCTCTGCACCCCAGGAGAAAGAAAAATAGGGGACCACTAAGGGCAGTGATGTCTGAAAGCGGATGATTCTTTCACACCTTGTTTCGAGGAGGGATTGGGAGTACGTGCCGCTGTCGGGGCCACTGGCCTGGGCAGTTAACCCAGTTGTGCCCTGCCCCACGGGGCCTGATTCTGCACAGGACCAGGGCTTGAGCTGCTGGGGCTGCTCAGTCAGTGCCGTGTCCCCTGGGTGAGATGCCCAGTGACAGTCACAACTGGTGGGGCTGTAGGCCAGACTAGGTCTGTCCCTCAGTTTGGGGCTTGGGAACCTGGTTTCCTGGGGGTAGCGGTAGCTCACAATGTTACGTTTTCTCTTTCTCTGGGTTCTGAAGATTCCGGAGACGACGAGGACCTGGAAGTGGTGGCGGTAGCTACACAGAGGAAGCTGGAGGCCAATGGCGCGTCTAATTCTGATGATGATGCTGAAAGCTGCCCGATTTGTCTCAACACTTTCAGGGATCAGGCTGTGGGGACACCGGAGAACTGTGTCCATTACTTCTGCCTGGACTGTATCTTGGAATGGTCCAAGGTGAGGCGGCTTCTCTTTGAGGCTCTTCTTGTCTGTTTATGAGTGACCCAGCCTGTGCCAGGCCTCTTGCTGGGCCAGCTCTGCTCTGCAGCAGAAGTTGGGGCCAAGGCGTTGAGTGGTAGCATGGTCCTCCCTTCCTCCTGCGCCGCTGTTTGGGTGGTGGGGGCTGTGCACTGCAGGGGAAGCAGGAGAGGGAGCAACATTGTTGACGGGCCAGTGATCCTGGGGGCTGCCTGCCACTGAGGAGTCAGCTGTGCTCAAGTGCTGCTCAGGTACACGGTGGGTGGGTCATCTCACAGATGCGGAGGGGCATGAGGGTTGACAGTGCTGAGTCATGGTGACCTGCAGGGAAAGGGGCCATCCTAGATCAGGTGAAGGGCATTTACCAGAAACATGCCGTGCATCTCCTGGTGAGCTCCAGAAGCAGCGCTCCTACTTTTTAACTTCGTCGTGAACATTTCAAAGACGTGGACTAGTACCAGGATGAGTGAGGTGCACCCCATGTCCTTGGGAACTGTTAGCTCTGCCGTGTTGCTGTCTCACACTTCACCCCACCCGAGACTCCACCAGCATAGGCACAGTCCACCTCGATTCCCTTCACGCCTATGGACATGCTGTGTGCATGTGCCCAGCTCTCCTTACTTCTACTTGCACGAGATGATGACTTCTGTCTCTCACTGCTGTGTCCCCAGCCGCTTAGCTCAGGGCCTGGTACACGGAGACATCTGTAAAAGTTTGGTCTTCAGTGTAAAGGCATTTTGGTAGATTCCAGGTGCATTCTTTATTTTGAGTGTGATGTTAATGGTGAAAGTGATCGTACAGGATCCCGACACAGTTTCTGTTTCTTACAGAATGCCAATTCCTGTCCCGTCGATCGGACCATATTTAAATGTATTTGCATTCGAGCCCATTTTGGTGGGAAAGTCCTGAAGAAGGTGAGTGTCAACGCTGTGTGGAGAACCCCCCCAACCCTACTACTTGTGTTCCTTACTTGGTCCGTTTCGTGGGAAAACACGCTTTCAAAGTTGCTTTCCTGAGACAAGTGAGTATTGGTCCCATGCTTTTCAGAAACCCACCAAACTGCCATTCACAGCTGGGAACGGGAAGCCCGTGGCTGCAGGCGCTGCCCTGTCTGCTGGCTATCTGGGTTCTGGGGGAGGCGGGCACTGCAGGGGAAGTACAGTCAGCAGTTTCCCAGGCTTCCTCTTCTCCACTCCTGCACATGCACTTCTACATCTCAGAGCTGCCCTAAGCCACGGCAGCCACGGGGAGAGGAAAGCTCAGGTGCGGCCCAGGCTGGGGATGTTGCCGGTTCTCTTGGGACCAGGTTTCGGATGCTTTTATGCTTTTTAGAGATTTGAAGGGCCTCCACACATCTGATGTTGAGGACCAGCATTAGAGAGGTTCATAGGGATGTCCCTTAGATCTAAATACAAGGAAAAGCCATGAGGGTCTCACAGCTGCAGACCTGCTGTTTACAAAGTGCACAAAGCCACAGGTGCCCGGGGCCTGGACTCCTCGTTGGCATATTTCTGCTGAGACTGTGTCCTGTCATGTGCTCCCGGGTCTGCTGCAGGTGGCAACTTTGGTTCTGCTGGCTCAGGCCTCCTGTCTCTGCCCTGGGCCCTCTGCCCCCTAGCCCCAGAGCCTGGGCCTTGGGCAGCCTAAGGCCTCTGGGTGTGTGGGCGGTTTCTCCATAGGCACTATTTATTCACTTGGAGAGTCTGCCAGTTAAGTGTGTGGATCCTACGCTCCTCTGTGTGTGAGGGGCGAGAGTCCACGATACATGCACCTGGTCTAGGTGGAGAGCGCAGGCTGACAGTGACTCCACATGCAGTCCCAGGTCCCTGCCTGGTGCTAGATACAGGCAGAGGGTGTGTTTACTTGTCACAGGGCTGACAGTTGCAGGAAGTGATCTTCGGGGTGGGCAGGGAGTGTGTCCACCAACAGGGCTTGAATGATTGCAGCTAATTAATTGTGCCCCCTGAGAATGCCTGTCTGTGGGAGGTGTTCTCTGTGCACCCCATGTCTGTTTGGAGTCGTGTTTCTGTGTCTTTGCCTGATTATAGGACAGTGTCTGAGAGTTTAGTACCTGCTGCCTGAAGGCTTTTTCCTGTTCTTGCAGTCACCTGGGGTGCGTGGGGCGGCCTCCCTCCATCTTCAGGGCCCTGCTGTCTGCTGCTTCCTCTGCCCAGGGCCCTCCCGTGGGCACCACTCTGTTTTCTGTTAAATCAGTTTTTCTTCTTCTTGGTTAACTACCTTGAGATGGCTAGAAAACATAAAAATCACTGTATGTTTGTTAATTCCGAGCCTCTGGGTTGGTCTGTGGAGCACATCAAGATCTTGAGAAGCTGATCGAGCAGCTCCAGGTCAGCCGCAAACAGTCCTGCTGGGTGTAGACTGTGGGTTGGGCTCCTCTTGCCACGTGCACAGCAGTGCCTTCTGCCTCCAGATCCCTGTGGAGAACTCCAGGGCCGGGGAGCAGGAGGAGGAGGACCCCACCTTCTGCGAGGTGTGTGGCCGCAGCGACAGGGAGGACCGCCTACTCCTCTGCGATGGCTGTGATGCTGGGTGAGTGCAGGGCCCCTATGTCCCTGGCACACAGGAAGTCCATTTGTGCACTGCAGAGCGCAGCCTGTTGAAGGGAAGGCCTGCGGGGCTGCACGCCATCCACAGACCTGCACCGCGGTCTCAGGTTGCCCAGGCCCCGCACTCAGATGTCTGCACCCAGCACCCGGGGTTTTGTGGCATCAGTTGGTAGCAGCAGGCCCTGCAGGCCCTTCTGATTATTGCCATTTACACTCTCTGCTTGTTCCCAGAGATATTCTAAGACTGCTTGGAGAGATGGATGTCATATACCTAGACAAAGGAAAAGCCCAGGAAAACCGACATGGGGACGAGGGGCTCGTGAGCATCAGGGTCGGGTTTGTGCTAGGCTGTTTCTCCTGCCAGGCCAGGCTCCAGAGGGTGGGGCTCTTGTGACTGCCTCCGTCACAGCTGCCTGTCTCCCTCCACGGCTCTCCCTCCACAGCTCGGGCCCTGTGTCCTGCACCCTGACTTCAGGAGCCCCTTCCTGTCACTGTCATAGGCTTCTCCCCGGGTGAGGCTGTTGGAGCTGTAACTCACAAAACCTCCTTTTTCCTTAGGCTTTTGAATTGAGGGTATAACTCTTAGTTCTGTGAATTCTTTGTCTTTAGTATATCTTTACTGATTTCNTGCTTCCTCTGCCCAGGGCCCTCCCGTGGGCACCACTCTGTTTTCTGTTAAATCAGTTTTTCTTCTTCTTGGTTAACTACCTTGAGATGGCTAGAAAACATAAAAATCACTGTATGTTTGTTAATTCCGAGCCTCTGGGTTGGTCTGTGGAGCACATCAAGATCTTGAGAAGCTGATCGAGCAGCTCCAGGTCAGCCGCAAACAGTCCTGCTGGGTGTAGACTGTGGGTTGGGCTCCTCTTGCCACGTGCACAGCAGTGCCTTCTGCCTCCAGATCCCTGTGGAGAACTCCAGGGCCGGGGAGCAGGAGGAGGAGGACCCCACCTTCTGCGAGGTGTGTGGCCGCAGCGACAGGGAGGACCGCCTACTCCTCTGCGATGGCTGTGATGCTGGGTGAGTGCAGGGCCCCTATGTCCCTGGCACACAGGAAGTCCATTTGTGCACTGCAGAGCGCAGCCTGTTGAAGGGAAGGCCTGCGGGGCTGCACGCCATCCACAGACCTGCACCGCGGTCTCAGGTTGCCCAGGCCCCGCACTCAGATGTCTGCACCCAGCACCCGGGGTTTTGTGGCATCAGTTGGTAGCAGCAGGCCCTGCAGGCCCTTCTGATTATTGCCATTTACACTCTCTGCTTGTTCCCAGAGATATTCTAAGACTGCTTGGAGAGATGGATGTCATATACCTAGACAAAGGAAAAGCCCAGGAAAACCGACATGGGGACGAGGGGCTCGTGAGCATCAGGGTCGGGTTTGTGCTAGGCTGTTTCTCCTGCCAGGCCAGGCTCCAGAGGGTGGGGCTCTTGTGACTGCCTCCGTCACAGCTGCCTGTCTCCCTCCACGGCTCTCCCTCCACAGCTCGGGCCCTGTGTCCTGCACCCTGACTTCAGGAGCCCCTTCCTGTCACTGTCATAGGCTTCTCCCCGGGTGAGGCTGTTGGAGCTGTAACTCACAAAACCTCCTTTTTCCTTAGGCTTTTGAATTGAGGGTATAACTCTTAGTTCTGTGAATTCTTTGTCTTTAGTATATCTTTACTGATTTCACAGAGAGGAAGAGAGAGGGGGAGAGAGAGAGAAACATCAATGATGAGAGAGTCATTGATCAGCTGCCTCCTGCATGCCCCCTGCTGGGGATCAAGCCCACAACCAAGGCATGTGCCCTGATCGGGAATTGAACCGCAGTCTCCTGGATCCTTGGTCGATGCTCAGCCACTGAGCCATGCCAGCCAGGCTGCCTCTGGTTTTTTAAATTTAAAGGTGTTTATTCACTAGGGAGATGCCCTTAGGACTGCAGGACCACATTGTGGTCTTGGCGCATCTGGACGCTGCTTTCTGGCATGCGGGGTGCAAGTGAGCCTGGGGCCTGTGTCTGGCCTTTTGCTCCTATAGGTACCACATGGAATGTTTGGACCCCGCTCTCCAGGAGGTGCCGGTGGACGAGTGGTTCTGTCCAGAGTGTGCCGACCCTGGAGCTGCTGCCCCTCCTGCAGGTAGTGCTGCTTCCTCGGTGACTGGTCTGCCCAGAGCAGGGGCAGTCAGGGCCTCTGTTGAGCCTAGGGGTGGGGGTTCTGGGTGGGAGCTGGGGAACCGAGCTCCAGCCCTGTGGGTCTGGAGGCACTGGCTGTGCAGCAGCCCAGGATCTCCTTTCTTCCCAGACTCGGATCCCGTGACTGAGGAGGAAGTCTCCCTGCTCTTGGTTGATGTGGTGCCCACTGCCAGCCGGCTGCGGCCTCGCGCAGGGCGGACCCGGGCCATTGCCAGGACCCGGCAGAGCGAGCGAGTCCGAGCCACTGTGAACCGGAACCGCATGTCCACGGCCCGGAGCATCCAGGTGGGCACTCTCCCTCCAGGTCTGGGCCACCACATGGGGCTTCAGGGCAAGCTGTCGCCTGCAGTTGGGTGTCTGCCTGTGAGAAGCATCGCTAGATTGGGAGTGAGTGAGAAGACTGGGGGCACTTGGGCCTGGTACCCTCATCACAAATGCCACTGCTACCACCGGTTCCCAGAGCAGGTGCCTGCAGTCCCGATGTCCTATCCCGTGGGCTCTGCTCCTCTTCTGCTTGGAGCACCGTTTGCTCCTCGAGTGCCTGGCCCTCCTCATCTGCCTGTACCCTGAACCTACTTCCTGGGAGGCCTCCCTTCCCACCCGGCCTGTCTCCACTGGGTTCCTGCCCTTGGAAAGCACCCTGCAGTCAGTCTGTTGGAAGCGAGTGGGTGATGCCAGCTGGAAGCAGTGGGCCCAGGGCTGTGTGTGTGTGTCCCCAGTGGCATTGCCTGGGGCCCTCGCAGGGAGGGTGCTGTGAGCAAGCCTGGCAGCCACCCTGCCCACCAACACCACCTACTATGCAGCATGTCCCAAGGTACCTGGTGTCTTCTGTGCTTGATGAGACCATCGAAGCTGTTGCCTCTGGTCAGAGCACTGCCGTGTATCAGCGCCCCACGACGCCACGGGCCCCTGCTAAACGGAGGAGGAAAGCAAGTAAGCGGGCGTGGTGGCTTTGTTGGGTGGGTCTCTGACAGCACAGGACCTGGTTGCTCTCTGCACCCGATTCCCTCGGGCTGCAGTTCCCACGGGAGCACCCCCATCAGGGGGTCTGAGTGCGCTTCACCTCTGAGCGCCACAGGCCATTTGCTCATGGCAGCAGGGTCCATACCCAACCTGCCCTGAAGTGTCTGGGGTCCATGTGCTGGAATCAACAACATGTGGGTGAGGCCCAGGCTGGGGCTTCTCTGCGAAGGAACAGTCGAATGACAAGCTCAGGGTCTTTGCTTGTCTTTCCAAGTGTCCTGGGCCTTTTCTGTGTTTGTTTTGGTCATTTTGTGCCCCTAAGTTCCATGGGTGCGGCCTGGGGAGGAGCTGTTCGGCCGTGAGCATTCCCCCCTCCCTGGGCTCTTGTCTGCAGGATCTTGTCCAGTGGCAGCTTGTCCACACTGCTGCACCCTGTGTTCCTGAGCTCTCATGCTGCTCTGGGTGGCAGCTCCCTTCCCCCTCTAGTGTTTATTGACATCCATGTGGGTGCATGGGTTCCTGCTTTTTGTTTTTATTGATTTCAGAGAGAGGGAGGGAGGGAGAGAAACATCAGTGATGAGAGAATCATTTATCAGCAGCCTCCTGCATGCCCCCTCCCAGGGATTGAGCCCACACCCTGGGCGTGTGTCCTGACCGGGAATCAAACATCAATCTCCTGGATCATAGATTGATGCTTAACTCCTGAGCCATGCTGGCCAGGCGCATGGTTTCCTGTTTTATTCAGTGGATCATCTGTGGGCTTTTAAAGGTCACCTTAACTAAGACACACATGCAGGAGGAGTGCGTCCACTCCAGGAGCAGTAGTGTGCCTGCCACCCCACCTGCCCTGCGTCCCCTGCCCCACGGCCGGCCTTGGCAGCCTTTGTGTTGCTGTGGGTCAGTCTGCCCTTCATCAGTTTTGGGAACAGGTGTGATGACACCTGAGTATGTGCCCTAGGTGGCTGCTCTGCAGGGACTGCAGCCTGGCGGTTGTGTGTCTGTGGAGTAATTTCTGTGTATTGCTGTGTACATGTGGCCCAGTCTGTCGGTAGGATCTGAGCTGTGTGGTTGCAGCTGTGAGGAAGAGAGGTGCCATGCACATGCCCAAGTCATGTTGCAGGCCTGTGCTCACGTCCCAGGTGAGCTGTGGCTGCACTTGTTCAGTTCACGCTCCCATCAGCACCACGAGCTGCAGCCGCCCCACATCCTCCCTGTGCCAGGTTGTGGTGCTGTATCCCCACCATGGGCGCCATGACAGTCTGCTGCTCTGGGACCTGCCTAGCGTGGGCAGGCCTGTCTTTGCATCCTGTCCTCTCGTGGCCTCTCTGTGGGAGCCAGACGTCTGTCATTGTTCGTGGCCCGTTTTAGTGGACAGCACTGAGGTGTCCACCCTCATGTCACACTGATTCTGGAGTTAAAGTTCAGCATCATGGGCTTTAACTTCTGTTCTCTTGCGTGTGTGTCCCTTTCTGATGTCAGAAACCCCACTTCCCAGTCCTGTGTTTCTCGCTTGCTTCCCCCATGGCCCAGAGCAGCCTGAGGGAGAGCCTCCGTGCTGAGGCCTGTCCAGCTGGGATGCGGCCTCACCTCCGAGGCGGCCTGTGGCTCTGGTTACGCATCATTTGCTTTACTTGAGGTTTTGTGTGTGTGTTTGCTTTGCTAGTGAGGTTCTTACAGACGTAGGTCAGGCCTGCGCCTGTGGGCAGGCAGCAGAAACTGCTGTGAGGTGCTCGGCTGCCCTCTTCCGGGCCCACCTCCTGGTCGAGGCGCCTCGTCTGCACCCCGCTCTTTCCTCCCCCAAGTCCTTGTCATTGCCGTTCTCTTCTTTGTCCCAGAAGAGGGAGTCTTTTCTTTAAATTCCACCACAGCCCTTGGGCCTGAGAAAAGGAGTAGCACTTGCCCAACCCCGAGAGGGCCAGTCAGTGTTGAATGTTCTAATTGTGTCATAAATGCCATAGAATTTTAAAGAATCGTCTGTTTGAATCCAGAGCCAAGTAAGATCCGTGTTGGCTGCTGGCTGTGTTCTCCAGGTCATAGAGTGTCCCTGTCAGCTTTGCCCACTGCATTTCGGCCTGTGGTTGGAGCCTGGAGGCTCAGGCTGGCCCAGGTGGGAGTCTGGTTTGGTTGGTTCTGTTTGAGTTGCCTGGGGGGTTGACCTCTTTCCATCAGAGCTCAGGCACTGGGACCTTGAGGGGAGGCTGACCTGCACCAGCTGCTGCCCAGTGGCGGGCTTTAGGGACAGGCTTTCCATGCCCTGGTCTGGCCTCAATGCCAGACCTCAGCACCACCGTGTTGCTCAGTAGCCCTCAGTGGAGGTTACATAGGGTTCAGCACCATTGTGAGCTCACAGATACAGATGGAGGGTGTGTGTTGTACTAGTGTGTGCCAGGGCTGGTCCAGCTGTCTTCCCTGGTGTCCCTGCCTCCATGCCGAGGTTCCTGTGCCGCTCAGGTGCCAGGGCGTCTGGAGTTCAAGTACCTGGGCTGCTGCGCCCCATACTGAGCCAGCCTATGGCAGGCCCAGGGTGGCGGGTCAGGACTGACACTGGTGGGTCTGCAAGGCAGGGTTAGGGTGTTTTAGTAGAAGTGCTCATGGGTCCTGTTATCAGGTCTCTGGTTACACCTCCTGTGGGTGTAGAGCACAGGCCCCTTGTTGCATCAATCAGGGGTTTGTTTTTTCTAATGATAACCTGTGAAGTCTGCGCTGGTCTCAAAGCCAGGCCCACGGAGCAAGTGGACTGAGTCACGCCATCCTGGGGGTGTGCGGGCGAGCCCTGGAGGGGACGCCAAGGGTGCCCACAGGGAAGCACAGACCCTCAGTGTCCTCTCTGTAGGAAGACGGAAGAAAGTGCTGGGAAGGAAGAAAACCCAACCCCGACCGGCTGTGAGGAGCAGGAGCTCCAGGACGAGGTCCAAGAGGCGCCAGAAGAAGAGAAAAGGGAAGACAAAGGTAACAAGTTCTACTTCCTCCCCAGGGAACGGGTCCTGGAAATACCTCCTGTTTGTCAGCGACGCACCCACGAGATGGATGTGTCTGCAGCACGGACTGCCAACAGCCCAGGCGTCCTGAGGGCTGTGCCCCTCCTAGGACAAGTCCTCAGGCTTGCAGGGGGCCACTGGGGGTGTTGCGAGGGCAGCACCCGCAGGGCACAGCTGTCTTGTCCTGGCCTAGGTCCCCAGGTCTGCTGTCACTGGGCCTGTGAGCCATAGGGGCCTGTTGGTGGGCGTAAGGACCTGGTGTGTTGTCTGCTCCAGGTAGTAGAGCCTGTGGCTCTGATCTGGTGTGGACTCAAGCAGTTCACATCCAGGTAGTTTGTCTCACTGATGGTGGTTCTTTTCTTTGGTGCTGCAATCAGAGTGAAGTCACAGCTCGCCGGCGCATTGCAAGGACGCTGGGCCTCCGGAGGCCAACCCGTGGAGCCTGTATCCCTTCTGTGTATAGGCCTGTGGACCCCTCCCTGGGGCTGATGCGCGCGGACATCGGGGCTGCCTCTCTCTCTTTGTTTGGAGACCCCTATGAGCTGGATCCTTTTGACAGGTGACTGCAGGGGGTACTGTGCTGTGCAGGCATCATCTGCAGTTGGGGAGCAAGCTGTCAGCTCCCTCCCCCTTTAGTGTGGCAGTGGGCACATCACCTGTGGTGAGCGAGGTGAAGCCTCAGGGTTGCCATTTGTAGAGTGAGGGAGATGATTCCTGCCTCACAGTTATTCCCAGTGGGTGGTGCAGAAAGAGCTCTGTTTGTGCTCATCCCCAAGCCAGAGAGAAGAGCCACCTGGGGCAGTGCTCAGCCTGTCCTGCTAGGCACTGTGGAGCAGGGGCTGGAGGTTTCGCTTGGGCCTGGGGCATGGGTCACCTGTTCCCTGTTGCCTGTGTCCTTCCTCCAGCAGCGAAGAGCCATCTGCCAGCCCTGCTTCCCCTCTGAGTGCTAAGAGGAGGGTTCTGTCCCGCTCGGCCCTGCAGTCTCACCAGCCCGTGGCCCGTCCCATCTCCATGGGGCTATCCAGGTGGGTCTAGGGAGGGGGGCAGGGCAACAAGGGCCAGGGGTCCTGGCATGGCACTCCATGCTGGCTTGTCTCCACCACCCAGACAGACTTCTGTGGCCCCTCCTCATGGTTCTTGATGAGGAAGCAAGGGTACAGGGGTGACGGGGTAGGGCAGGAGCCCAGCTGCTATGCTGTGCTTTTGGCTGGATCTCTAATATTGGAGCCTTTGGGACAAAAAAAGAATTAACTGAACCCATGCAGCAGCAGAGCTACTTATCTGCCAGCTCTGGCCTGTCTGCCGTCTGCTGATTTCACCCACACACCCTGTTTTCCTCTAGTTGGAGCTTCTGGGTGGGTCTCACACCTTTGTGGGGGGCCAGGCAGGCGGCCTCTTTTCAGCACAGCTTCCAGGACCTGGGGGCCAGGCCGGGGGGACCTGAGGGCAGCTGTGGCAGGGCCTGGTCTGCACCTGCAGGAGGAGCATTCCTGCCATGGTGCCCGAGCCGGACGTGGACGAGGCCCCTGTCCCTGACCTTCTGGGCAGCATCCTGTCAGGCCAGAGCCTCCTGATGATGGACAGCGCCGACATCACCATCCACCGGGACGGCTCGCTCAGCGCCAAGCGGGAAGGTGAGGCAGCCTCCTTGCTCTGGAAAACTGAAATGCGCTTTTCCCAGAGAAGTGCCTGTGGAGGCGCTGAGAGGGCATTTTCTATGCACAGAGGATGCAGAGGAGGGAGGCTTCCTCAGTTGTTTTTCTCTGTTAATTTCCCATCATGTTCTGAACCGTGTTTCTGAGCTGATAACTAGGTGATAAGGAGCCCATGGGCCCCCTCAGCCATCAAGTGGCTGGAGGCAGCCATGCGGAGCCTTCCCAGTGATCTGGGTTCTGGCAGGTTTTCTGGTGGGGTCCAGTGTGGGGACTGGGCAGCCTGTGATGAGCGCTGCTGCAAATCTAACTGGCACGTTCTGATCCCAGGTAGCACAGCGGTAGGTAGAAGGGAAGCCCCTGTGGCACCACGCGAGCATTGGGCCTGCTCAGCCCCCCCCCCACTAGAGGACTGTCCCCCCCCCTCAGGAAACAAATAGAAGGAACTCAGCGTGCACCCTTAGAGGAGTCCTGCTGATACAGAAACAAATCATCAGACATCTTGAAGGGGGTGGGACCTGATTGCTGTTTGCCTTTTTGTTTTTTAGTGCCTGTTTCTTTTCAGCGGAACTCAGTTGGTCTGTCCCGAGGAAGAGAAGGCTCCGGGGCTGGGGCCAGCCTGCAGCCCACAGCACCATGCACAGGGCGCCTGGGAAGCCTGGGGTCATGCTGTCAAAGCAGGTCTACCCCCTCCTGTATCCCTGCACTCAAGTCGGGGGCTGTGGTGAAACTGAACTCCTCCTCAGGGACCCCTCGGTCAGGCCAGGCCCAGAACATGTCACATGGGAGCAGTCCTGGCTTAAAACACCGGGAGGACCTCCAAGTCAGTGGCAACAGTAAGCGTGCTGTGCCTCTTGGATCCTCACCAAAGAGCTTAAACGGCAGCTCTGACTTGCCGGCTGCGAGTGCAGTGCCCGGACAGACCCCAAGGCCAGCTCTCAGGAGAGCAGACATCTCTGAGCTCCCCAGGATACCGAAGATCAGAAGGGATGGCAGTGGGCAGGGGGATGCGTCCCCAGCCCCTTCAGGCAGTCAGCGTGTCGAGATCCCCAGCTCCTGCATCAGCCGGCTGACGGGCAGGGAGGGCCCTGGGCAGCCTGGCCTCGGTGCCCGGGCAGAGGGCGAGCCCCGTGGCAGGGGCCCACAGGAGCCCAGCGTGCACTCAGGAGGCAGTGCTCAGTCCCCAGCCCAGATGGGACCCTCAAGGGGCAAGGGCAGCAGCTCCACCTTTGAGAGCTTCCGAATCAATATTCCTGGGAACACGGCGCAGTCCAGCCGATTCTCCAGCCCTGGCTTCTGCCACACCTTCCGGCCCGTCGACAGTAAGGTGCAGAGGAAGGAGAGCCCCTCACCTGTCTTCTCCCTCAGGAAGACGAAGCAGCTCAGGAGTGAAATCTATGACCCATTTGACCCCACGGGCTCAGACTCCAGTTCTGCAGGCAGCAGCCCCGAGCACCTGGGCTCCAGCCTCCTGCCCTCAGAGATCACTCGCACCATCTCTGTCGGCAGTCCCAAGGCCCCGCCATTGCAGACTGTGCGCTGCGTCACCTCCTACACGGTGGAAACGGTCTTTGGGACGGAGCCCTCGCCCTCCTCCAGGGGGCCTTCCTCCAGCGTGCTCAAGCTCCGGACTGAGGGGCTTGCCAACAGGCTGAGCGAGGAGGAGCCTGCTGGGGGCCAAGACTCGGCCCTCCGGGCTCGGAGGCCGTCCCTGCTGGAGCCCTGGGAGGATGAGGACCAGCCCCCCCCCCGCACCTTCTTTGGCTCTGAGGAGCGGACAGTGACCTGTGTGACAGCGGAGCCAGACGCCCCGCCGACAACCACCCACAGGATTGTGGAGCTGCGGTCTCCATCCCGCTCCCGCTCCTCATCTAGCTCCCGCGGCAGAGAGAGAGACAAGAAACCACAGGCCACCCCCCGGGAGCACAGGAGGACCCGCTCCCGCTCCGCCTCCCACTCCGGGGACAGGAGCTCCCGGTCAGTGTCACCACTGGTGGGTGAAGATCATGCCAGGAAGCCCCAGGCCAAGGCCAGGGCTCGGAGGTCTTCCAGCGACCGCTCCAGCAGCCACGAGCGGGCCAAGCGGAAGAAGGCCAAGGACAGGAACAAGGAGAGGAAGAGGGACTCATGGGGCCGAGGCCGGCGGAGGTCCCGGTCCCGCTCAGGAACCCCTGGCAGCTCCTCACATGAGTATCGTGAGAGCAGGAGGAGGAAGAAGAGGCGTTCGGGGTCCAGGTCTCAGGGGAGGGGGTGCTCTCCCCCCAGCAGCCTGGAGAGGGCCCGAAGGCCCCACCGTCCCAGGGAGAGGAGCCGTGAGCGGCCCAGAGATAGGCGGGGCTCCCGTGAGAGGAGGAAGCGCAGGTCCAGGTCTCCCAGCACAGAGCACAGGTCCCGTGAGCATCGGCGGCCTCGTTCCCGCGAGAAGCGGCCTCGGCTCCACTCCCGTTCCCGTTCCCGCTCCCGCTCCCGCTCCCGCTCCCACTCCCGTTCCCGCTCCCCAGAGAGGAAGGTGTCTGTGAGGGAGGCTTCCCCAGCACCCCCTCAGCAGGAGGAGCCGCAGCCGGGGAGGGAGCATCCAGCCAGGATGCCAACCTTGGCAGGAGCTGAGGCTGGGCCAGAAGGGGCTGAGGCTGACAGGGCCCCCCCAAAGGCTCCTCCTGCCTCAGAAGTGCCAGCTGAGTGCCCCCCCGAGGACCTGGATTACGGCGACTCTGTTGAGGCGGGGCATGTCTTTGACGACTTTTCAAGTGAAGGCATCTTCATGCAGCTCGACGACATGAGCTCCCCACCCTCCCCAGAGAGCACGGACTCCTCCTCCCCTGAGCGTGAGCGGGGCTTCCTGCCCAACCCCCCTGTGCCCCCCGCTGCCAGCCAGCACCAGGACACCAGCCTGGCTGTGGCTGTTATCAGAAGGGAGGTGTCGCTGATCCACAGTGAGGACACCGAGCAGTCCCCGCCCTGGGCGGAGGGTCCCCGAGAGAAGGTCTTGTTCCAGCAGGACCAGGCCAAGGCCTTGGTGCCTCATGCTGTGGGGGGCCTGGCCGTGGGCGGGGCGCTGGTGGGGAAGGAGGAAGACCCCTGTCAGACTGCGGTACTTCGGGCTAAAGCCCCAGTGAAGAGAGTCACCTGGAACCTGCAGGAGGTGGCAGGCGGCGCTCTGGCTGAGAACAGAGGCCTGCGTGAGTAGGGCGCTCCTGTGGCAGAATGGGCTGGGGCAGTGTGTGGGGCGGCATGGAGTGGCCAGCATTGGGACCCTCTCCCCAGGCGGCTCGGGGCCTCCAGGGTCACATTGGCAGTGTGGGCCCTGGTTGGGGTGGCTGCAGCCCAGGCTGTGGTCCTTGTTGCTGGGATGCTTCTCTGGAATTTTCCAGCCAGGAAGTAGCCTTCCGCCTGGGGTGGCTGCAGAGCACCCACCTCCCCTGTGTTGGTCCTCAGGGACACCGCTCCACAGGCCCCAGCAGCCCCAAGAAGAAGCCTGGGAACCCGAAGATGGGGACTCTGTGGTGGACTCCCAGCAGGCACCCTGCCCCGAGCCCCTTCCTCCTGGTCACATGCTCCCCGAGTCTGTCTTCCCCACTTCAGACCCTGCTCAGGTGGGTGCCGGAGCTGGAGGGAGGAAGGTGACCTTGCACTTGCCATGTGGGCTGCTCCTGGTTGGGTAGGCAGCCTCACAGCAGCCCCCTCCCACCCACGGGTCTCCCTGCTCCGGGGGAGGGGCTGGGTGCTGCCAGCACTGGGACACTCAGCCGCTATGTCCTCACCCAGGTGTATAGCCCCAGCCTGCCTCCCTCCCTGGCTCTGCCCTCGAGTGTCCCACCCTATGCACCGGTCAGCCAGCCCACGGTCCAGTTCATCCTGCAAGGGAGCCTTCCCCTGGCCAGCTGCGGGGTGGCACCCAGCCTGGGCCCAGTGCCCACCGTCCTGACCACAGCCTCCGAGCCGTCTGGCCACGCTGCTGCCACCAACAACTCAGAGGAGAGGATGTCCACTTCCCGGCCAGCCACGGAAAAGGCCAAGAACGAAGAGGTGAGTCCCGCCCCTCCTCCCTGCAGCGTGGCTCAAGCAGGATGGCAGGAAGCACTGTGCCTCTCCAGAGGGCCCTTGAGGCCTCTGCCCTGGCCGTGCAGCCTCTGTGTGGGCGCTCACGCGTGTGCTTGCCCCTAGTACATGAAGAAGCTGCACATGCAGGAGCGGGCGGTGGAGGAGGTGAAGCTGGCCATCAAGCCCTTCTACCAGAAGAGGGAGGTGACCAAGGACGAGTACAAGGACATTCTCCGGAAGGCCGTGCAGAAGGTGAGGGGCTGGCACAGACTCCAGCGTGTAGGGGAAGTGTTCAGCCCTGGGCCCCGCAGCCAAGGCAGCACAGCTCCACACGGGCCCAGGAAGAGTGGTGCTGGGGGTCAGGACAGCCGCCCCTTTACTCGTCACATAGGGCAGATCAGAGGAGAGTGACACTCTGAGGCGTCTCTGGCCGTCTTGGTGGGACCCTCCGTGTCCCTGGGAGGTGGGTAGAGCAGGCCCTCAGGGCTCAGTCACTGCGACCACTGGCATATGTCCTGGTGTGAAAGGACCTCTGGGTAATTGTGCCGCCCCCTCCCTGCCAGATCTGCCACAGCAAGAGCGGAGAGATCAACCCTGTGAAGGTGGGCAACCTGGTGAAGGCGTATGTGGACAAGTACCGGCACATGCGTAGGCATCGGAGGCCGGAGGCTGGCGAGGAGCCTGCTGCCCAGGGCGCCGAGGGCTGAGGCTGCGGCCCTGGTCCCCAGCGGTGCTGTTGGGGAGTGGCAGCAGCAGAAAGCTCTGGGGACCCCCAGCACTGTTTTCAGGGTTCCTGTGATCACACGTGGTCTGTGCCCGTCCTGCTCAGTTTAAACTGGACTTTTTTATGTGTACATTATAGATACACTGTTTCATTGTGTTCTAATTTATCAAAAATGGATTATCTTTAGAAACTTCTCAGTTGACTCAGTACTTGAAAGGTGACCCCTTGACTAAAGCAGGGTTCTCGGAGGGCAAAAGGGCTGCTTGGGCACAGCATAGAGGTGGCTTCTGTTGGCCACTAAGCCCCAGGTGCCACACTCCGCACACACGTGGTAGGAGCAGACGTCTGCCGTCCCCAGGGACTTCTGTCCTTTGAGTGGAGTGTGTTGGCTCTAAAGTGTGTGGCGTGAGTTCCCTGTGACTACAGAGGAAATGGATGTGTGTGGGAGGGTGGGAGGGGATCGCCTTCCTCCCTGGCCTAGCCCTGAGCCCACCCCAGTCAGGACACCGGCACCGGTTCTTAGGTCCCGAGTCTTTTTATTGGGTCAGGGAGGCCGTACAGCCTAGGCTGGCTGCTCCACCTCCATTAAGTAGTTCTCCAAGAAGTGCTCCAGGTCCTCATACAGGCTGTTGTAGCTGGACAGGCAGAGGCTGAGGCTGCCGCTGTCCAGGGAGGATGCACCTTCCCTCTGCACAGCCTCCACGTACAACCGGCACAGCCACGGCTCCAGCTGCAGGGAAGGCACCGTCAGCCAGGCTGGCTGGGGCTGGGGCAGCCTCCCCTCGTGAGACCCTACGCCTCACCTTCACTAGGACCAGGCTCCTCTCCTTGGGCCTCCCGGCTGATAAGTCCTGCCCAAAGCCCAGGTAGATGGTGTAGTGTGGGGTGCCCTGGCGCCTACGTGCCTGGAATTCCACGAGCTCTGCAGGATGGGGCTCTGATGAGTGGAGAGGTAGGGACAGGCCGGGAAGGGCTTCAGTCCCAGGGCAGGGATATCACTGACCTTGGAAGAAGGTGCCAAAGTCAAAGATGCAGGTGTCGCAGTCCCTTTGCAGCAGGCAGGCTGGGGTGGAGGGGCTGTCGGAGCTCAGGGGGCTGCCCACCTCCCAGTAGACCTTACATTTGCCCAGGCGCCGGGCCCACAGTGCAGACCCCCGGAGCTCAAGCAGCAGGCCGGGGGCCACATGCTGCAGCAGCTTTTCTGTGTAGTGAAGCTGCTTCTGGTCCGGGAGCTCAGTGGGGCTGGGGAAGGCCACAAGCTGGGGCTCTGTGGCCTGAATGGCGAGGCCAGGGGCCCCGTACAGCAGCACACAGCTTGGGCGCCCAACCACCTCCTGCAGCACCGTTCGGCCCTTGTACATGATGGTCACGTGCAGGGCCCCCGGGCTGGGCTGTGTGTGCTTATGGAGCTGCAGGCAGGTCGGCCCCTCCATCTGGGTGCAGGTACTGAGGGTGGGTTTGGTGCAGGGCTCCGCCTCAGGTGGGGGCTGCCAGGTCTCTGGGGCTGGACCTGCATCTGGGGAGGAAGGCCTGAGCTGGAACCTGGTCCCCCAGCCCCTCCCTCCCTCCCTCCCTCCACACATCCCCTGGCTCCTCTCACCTGTCATCTGGGCCTGGGGCGGTGACCTGGGGGCCACCTCCACAGCCCAGGGAAGGTACAGTTCCCTGGGAGGGAGCTCTGGACCTGAGGAGGACAGTGGAACAGCTGTACTGGCTCAGCCCTGGTGGGCACCATCCCTGCCAGACACCCCCTTCCCCAGGGGCTCCGTTGTACTGCCTGCCCCTCTAGGGCAGAGCACCCCTATTCAACACAGCCCCTCACCAGAAGCCTCTGGAGTGACTGGGTCCACCCCCTGCGCAGCTTCCAGCAGGTGGTCCTCCAGGACGCTCTGCTGAAGGGCCTGGAGCAGGAGATCCTCTGTGTAGCCAGCCGGGCCCCCCAGAGGGCTTGGGGCGCAGGGCACGTGTCTCTCGCCGGCATCTCCTGCCATGCACGGCCCAGGGAGCCCACTCTGCAGGGGAAGACGGTGCTGGCACAGGCAGCTCCCAGCCCAGTGAGAGGTGGCAGACCCCACCCTGGAGCAAGGAGGGCAGAGCAGCCTTACCCTTGCGGGTGGATCATCTTCAAGGGCCTCGTCCTCTCCCTGGTTAATGCCTGGATCTTTTTGAGGGAGAATTGGGATGGGGTCAGCATTGGGACCTGAGACACTAGGCTGGCTGGCCCATGCCCCCTCCCTAGTCACAATAGGCCCCATCGGCCTCCCCCTAGAGTCCCCTCCATCCTGTCCCAGACCAGTTTCTAAAACCACAGATCTGACCTCGTGGCTGCCCCTGGACAGAAAAGTCCCGGCACCTGCCCCGCACCATTCCTCTGCCCTATGCAGAGCCTCCCCCTTCTCACCTCTGTGCCCCACGTGGGATCTGACCGCGTACACTTTGTGCGGGTCCGTGGGGTCTCCCGAGTTGTCCTGCAGCATCTCAAAGCGCTTGGTGCTGCTCAGCGCGCAGCGGAAGTTGGTTTTCCAGCCGGCCCGGAGCGGGCCCTCGGGGACCGGTTGGTCGTCGGAGCCTCTGCTCGGCGGCCACCTGCCG